TTACACATTACAGACAAATTTACATTTATATTATTTGAAAGCGAATTTACGCTTAATTTTTATATGGAAATAAAAAAGGAATGAAAATCTGATTATTCGAAATAAACATGGAATCAGATTTTTAAATTATGATTTAGTAATTTGTGAAAGCAATCCGCTCTTGAGTGACTCGTTTGCGTTTGAAGTGCCTAACACGAATTTAGATCGTAATGTGTTATAACAGCATTATACATATATATATATTAGAAGAAGTACTGGATTTGTGGAAATTTTATTTATCGTCCAATAAATTTTAATATTATTCCAAAATAATTTATAAAACTTCTAAAGTTCATATGCAATAAGAATTTTCAACAAGACATATTATATGTATATTAGTTGCATATACCAATGCCATTTCAAATTATATTTCCATTTTTTATCCTCTTCTTCCTGGCAATGTCCCAGCCTTAGCCAGGGTCTGCCTGACAAATTGTGAATAGTTTTGGGTAATTGTTTTTACGACCGGCCGCCTGCCTGACATCAACCCTCTTAATTCTTATATACCAATGGCATTTCTTATATTCTGCTATAATCCAAATGTAAGTCTAAAAAACCTTAATAGCATTAAAATCAAAATTGAAAAATAACTAAAACAAGATCCTATACCATATTATCGTTCTTTAAATTCAAATTTAGACTGTGAACATTTCCTTCTTAAAATAACATATTAATTATGTGAAAACAAACTTTCCACTTAACATAAAATACTTGTCTACGGTTATTTCAGAATTAAAGTGATTATCTAAAATACGTTCAAGATGAGCGTCGGTATTTGAAATACTAATTTATCGGCTTGGTGAAACCCGTGGTAATTGAGTTGCTCACGAGTAAGTGAATTATAATATAAACATGATACAGGCGGTTCAAACAAAAATATCTCTCGCTCAAGTTTAATGATCTCTGCAATATTGAAACACTGATAGATGTTGTTAATTTTAATACATATATTATAAGCGGCTGCTTACTTATTCTGGTTTTATAAAGACAATCGAATGATGGAACCGGAGAATAGTCAGAAACTATTTTAAACTTATTAAACTGAATGCTATGGAATGAAAATAACACTTTCGGATTTACTACGCGTTTTTTATTTTTGACTATAAACCACATACTCCCGAGGTTTCGGCTACTATACAGCAACGGTTGTAGTTTATACAGTATATAGTTTATAGTCAAAAATAAAAAAAAAACGCGTAGTAAATCCGATAATATTAGTTTCTTTTAAATGAGTACTCGCGAAACTCTTAGATCTCATTAAATGCTATTGATTGTACGACGTACGTACTTGACGTTATACCACTAAAAAAATTATGCCGAATTCATATTTTGATTCCCAGGGAAACCAATATTAGCTATCTTCCTGGAATTTGTGCTACTAATTGATTTATTATTTCTACGACAATATACATATTACTTCGTATAGTTTTATTGTTTTCTTCTCTATCTATTTATCCATTTGGTATATTAAAATAAACTTAACAAAACAATTATTAATTTGTTCACATATAAATATTAGATTGGACTATATATTTCATTTAGAAATATCTGTATACTATCAGCAATTCGTCTCAAGACAACGTATTGTTTACTTATTCATATTTAGAGATGTTGTTTCAAATGCAACAACGTCTGCACTAGCTTCCTCTAGAACTATCTCCATGTTCATTATTATAATTAATTTATATAACTCAGGATCATACCGAAATAAAGTTGTTAAATCATGTTGTTGAATTTTTAAATTGATATCATACTTGTAGGGGTAAACATTTAAGAATCAACGTGTATTTTAAAACTATAAACGCTGGCTTCAGTCCTTATTTATATTTGCAAAAAAAAACTAAACAGAAAAAAGATTTTGAAACAACGTTTATCATTACTCAGGCACCGATATACATACATTAATCCTGAAAGGTAATATTTAAGAAACTAAGGTTTTTACTTACTTACAAGGATCATTAACGACTTTCCGTCAAGTTTATTTATTTTCAGCAATCTAACAAAGTGACATAATATTACATTGATAAAATTGATACATATAAAGATACAATGATTAAACTTTTATTAATAATACTCCGAAGCTTAGTCTTATCATATTATTACTAAAATAAAAAATTACGCTGTATTAAAATATTTTAACTATAACTTTATACTATACAACCATACTCTCAAACATCTCCTATTATCTTTACTTTATACCTCGATTACTATAAAAAAAACATCATTTTATAAGCTTAAAATATTTTTAGACTTTATTTTTTTCATATAACTTTAACGAAGTGACTGGCTTAAGTTCCAACTTTTCGATGAATGTTGCTTCTTGATTATGCTTTACAGCACAAGTTGTGAAAGTTCTCCACAAGAAGCAACATAACTTTTCTTATTTTGTTTTTGAGAAAAGCGAGATAAAAAACAACTTCTTATATGTAAGTAAGAAAGACACGATACCGGTATGTAGCTAATCAAGTTTTTTTTTTAACTTACTAAGAATAATATTGAAACTTATCATCGAAGAGAGACTTATGTCTAAAATTGTGGTCATTCACAGACATATTAAATTTCACTAAAACATATTATTTCTTTACATTTATTTTACGGGTAACTGACTTATTATATTTCTATTGTTTTATATAAAATCCTTTAATTCTCAAGTCATTGTACGCTGGAGAAAAAAATCTTTGTGACCTAAAACTTATCTTTCAGACACAAAGATATTGAGATTATAGACCCCTTTGAGCCAAAGTAAAAAATATGTAATTTTATTTCCGAGAATCATATAATATTAAAACCATCAAATGATGGAATATATTCCGTATCAAATAATTTTATGAGAAAATTTAAATATACTCTAATGTAATCTTTAGCTTTGAAGACAGAGATTGCGGCGAAAAAGATGTGCTAGGAAAATAGATCAGAAGTTACTTAAACAACAATATTAAAAATTTCATTTGAAATGTATTCCTTATTTTAAATTAAATCGTTCTTATTAGCCCATTCAATAAAATTCAAAGTTCAGGAAATAGCGATTAACCATTTTATTACGAGTATAATGTATATTATACTGTAGTATATTTCTTAATGTAATGTAGAATCTGTATTATCTCTATTCACCTAACTTTTAATTAATCATTAAGCAAACTACTCTAACTTATTTGATTATTATTACATCATTATTTAACAAATGTTATCATGATGCAACAATAGTCTCGGAATTATTTAAAATATATTTATATCTGTTTATTAAATGATTACCTTCGTTTGGATCACTTTGATTTTGTTTCTACCACTTGTTTCCTAAATTTGAAGGTATTAACTAGCAATTTAAAAACGTTTTATTAGTTTTGTACAACATTTTTGTGCTATATCTATAAAATGATTTGATACTTTTGACCAAAAAAGTTTCAACATTGCAGTTGTATTGCAATCACGTTGCAATCTGACAGACGAGTAATTAAACAAGGAAATATGAAATTGCTGACTGTCGCAAGTCATTCCTGAATTTACCGCTTTATTTACAGTATTTTTTAAATATTATTTCCTTATAGCAACTTGGTATTGTTAAGTTGTATGTAACACAAGCAAAGAAGATTGTCTTAACATTCTCAGCTAAGAATCAAATTATATTCAATAAGATTTTTGGTAAAACATCATTGAAGATATTTAAGAAATATATGATCCGATAACTGTCATCGTTGTATTATGATACAATAACATTTAATTGTAATAATAATTGTACACTATTACGGGATTATGAGAAGTGACCTCAAATTGAAATATATAATACGTCGCTTACCGTAATCATAAAAAGCATATATTTTTAAACACAACACGTTATTCCAAATTCATTTAGAAATTAAATGTAGGAGAGTTTATATTTGAATCTGCATAAGCTATTGTTGAAAGTTATATTCCATATCACCAGTATGCTTCCATAAAACCAACTATACTTGAATAGAATTTTTTATCCGATTCTTTCATTGTGTAAATGTATATGTATGTATATATGATTTTCATTTTTTGCATAGATTTCCTATAATTTTAATAAATACAACACTATTTATAATTGCCGGTTACTTCAAAATCATTATGACACTTAAAAACAAAAAAATAAGAAATGAAATTTTCGCAAAATTTCAAGAAAAATAATTAATTTAATATTTGCATATATCACCAAAATATTATAAACTAGAAGACCTGGCGAACTTCGTATCGCCCTATAATCAAGAAATATCTATTACGTTTTTTTATTTATATTTTTGGAGTTTACCTGTAAGCTATAAATCTGCGTGTTTTGAAGTGCGACAGAATGATTGACATATTAGTTAGTTGTCAATCTAATGTCAAAAAAAACGTTTGTATGGGGAATAGAAAAGGGCTGTTTCTAGGATTTTCCCGGCAATTATTCCATTTTTTCTCACCTTTTAAACCTTCCCTGGACTTCCAGGAGTATTTCAAGACTAAAATTAGCCAAATCGGTTCAGCCGTTCTCGAGTTTTAGCGAGACTAAGGAACAGCAATCCATTTTTATATATATAGAAGATAACTTCAGAAAAATTTTATTGACTTGTTAAGGGAATGTAAACATTTTGCTTATCTCAATACAAATATCACTTGAAACCACTTTTAATTCAAAAATAATCTATTTATAATCATAAAACATGCTTAGACAATAGGTAGAAAAAAGAAAAGAAAACACTTGTAACTGTTGTAGTCAACGTTTTTGGTACTAACTAACAATTGTTGTGAATAATTCTTCTACCTGGCAATTTCCCAGCTTTAGCCAGGGTCTGCCGTACATTTCGTGAATAGTTTTGGCTTATTATTTTTACGTCTGGCCGCCTGCCTGACATTAACCCTCTTTTGGGAATGCATTAATCAGTAATGTCTAAATACTCTTAGAAAGTACTTATAACACGGAAACATCACATTGGTACTTGCCTGGGCCAGGATCGAACTCGTACCCTAATGCATGAGAGGCGGGCCTCGAATTTTGCGGGCAGCGGAGCGGCAGCGGGAGCGGCAGCGGGAGCGGCAGCGGCAGCGGGAGCGGAAGCGGCAGCGGGAGCGGCAGCGGGCGCGGCAGCGTGAGCGGCAGCGAGAGCGGCAGCGGGAGCGGCAGCGGGAGCGGCAGCGGCAGCGGGAGCGGGAGCGGCAGCGGGAGCGGGAGCGGGAGCGGCAGCGGGAGCGGGAGCGGGAGCGGCAGCGGGAGCGGCAGCGGTAGCGGCAGCGGGAGCGGCAGCGGGAGCGGGAGCGGCAGCGGGAGCGGCAGCGGGAGCGGCAGCGGGAGCGGCAGCGGGAGCGGCAGCGGGAGCGGCAGCGGGAGCGGCAGCGGGAGCGGCAGCGGGAGCGGCAGCGGGAGCGGCAGCGGGAGCGGGCAGCGGGAGCGGCAGCGGGAGCGGCAGCGGGAGCGGCAGCGGGAGCGGCAGCGGGAGCGGCAGCGGGAGCGGCAGGATCTTACGCGTATAATCAAATGGACCGACCCTCAGCCATCGGCCTAGAATACAGCGGTGCCCGCTGTATTCGAGGCCGAGGCCTTAAAGTTATTATTACTTTGTATTAAATTTTTCATACTCTCGATGCTCATTAAGCATTTATAATGACTCTAAAGAATCTTACTTATTATTGAAATCTAATGTTATACTAAATCTTAGCACTTATTTAAAAGGTAATAAAAATGTTTTTAAAAAAGTGGAATCTTAGTTTTTAAAATAAATTTTTTTAACAAGTCCTCTTTGATATTTGAAATTTATATTTTTTCCATTTTGACTGTAATACGAACAATTTGTGCAATAACGATTGATATAAATGAGGTTAAGTAAAGGATTTATAAAATATCGTGATCAATGTACTATAAAAAAACAGCTTATATTTACCCACCCACACATTCACGCCACTGTAAACTACCATAACGAAGCCACTTACAAAGTTGTATTTCTTTTGAACAAACAGGTGTTTCGAATTAATTACTTGGCAGCGACTGCGACGTAAATTGGACAGAGTGAAATATCGGTACAAGAGTCACAAAACATATACCGAATATTAAAACAGACATATTACGTAATCAGCAGTATGTTAATACAAATAAGATGTTGTTTGAGTTATTTATACCTTTCATATCCCAAGTACTTAATTAAACAATTTATTTATTATTCACCTTGCATTGACTACTGTAATTGTCCTTCTTAAAATGTTTTCATAAAATCTTTTAAAGTGGCTTTAAGTTAAATTACAACTAAATAAATTTTTCAAAGCAATTTCCTAAAACATCAATATAGTATTATTGAATTATTATTATTTATACGATTGAAGAAGTTTTATATCAACACTAGCTTTCCGCCCGCAGCTTCGCCCACTTGGAGTTCGGTTATATCGCGTTTCCAAGAGAACCTTTCAAAAATCTAGGATAAAAACTATCCTATGTTCTTTCTCAAGTTCAACTCTATGTCTGTACCAAATTTCATTAAAATCAGTTCAGTGGTTTAGCCGTGAAAGCGTAACAGACAGACAGACAGACAGACAGAGTTACTTTCGCATTTATAATATTAGTAGGGATTCAACAGGTCAACACTTAGCGCATTTTATATAGTATGTATGTATTTAATGTTTGGCCACCCAACATTTCATAATACAACATTTCATGATACATAATTTTCTAAAATCAGATAAAACATATCTTTGATATCACGCTACATGGGAAACTCATGCGGATTTATGAAAAAACTAAGGAAGTTAAATAGGGATAAAAGGTTTAGTGGGATAGTTGCTGAAATACTGCCGATAGGAAATCCCATGGGGCACACATTAAAACAAAACTTACTGCGGTCGAGGTCAAGAGAAACAGTAGTATAAAGAGTAGTTTGAAAAGGAAAAATTCATGGCATAGTATATAATTTGTTGTCGTTATAGTATACCCAAAATATATTTTAATCGGTTGTTTTAGTTAAAATGTGTATTAATTATTTTCATCAGCTTTTCAACGTAGTTAAAATACTTGCTTTCATTACTCACAAACTTTGTAACATGTTCATTATGTATGTATTTATAATTTTATTTCAAAATTTAAATATTTGTACTCGGAACTATTTTAAGAGATTTAAGAGTAGAATTTATTACATCAATAGGTTAGTTTTTTGCCAATACTTAATAATAGAAACAAATAAAAAAGTGTAATCTTTTTGTTACGTCAATTTAATTTTGTTTAATAATAATCATTCTATGACTAACAGAAAATTACATAAAAAATAAAACGTTTTACTTATTCTTTTTCAGTGAAACAGTAACTGAAATCATACAAAATAGACCTAAATTAGTTAAAACCGTATAATTAAACCATAGCAGTATAACTTAATGTAATTCTAGTGATTAAAGGTCACATAAAAGGTCACATGCTTAATGAGCATGACTACACCATTATACATTGAGATATTAAAGCATTAAACTCGTCGAGATGTCGGTAACGACGTGTGAAAATACCAAGCGAGTGATTACCAAACTTTTGACGTGAGAGTAACAAGGTATATTGTTTCAGTACAAGTTATACTAATTTATAAATTCTCTTGGGACGACGCAGACCGTTCAATAAAAATGAAAACTGCAAAACAACATTGCGATTATAAGAAAATCTCCCTATTTGACACAATTACATGAATTTTTTTATCTCAAAATGCATACATTTGTAAGCTCTATTTGTAAGTAAGGAAAAGTCCATAATAAGAGGCCCGTAAATATTTACAAAAGGATTAAATAATTTCTAAGTAAAAATGTCACTGAGTATATTAAACCTTTGAGTTACAAAATCTCTCAGACAACAACAAGCACTTTATGTTGCCAAAGACATATCTTTTTACAATTGCTTAAGGAAGATGGTCTGTCATATAAACTACAAATATAATGTTACTGAGATCTGTAAATAATATTTCGAAAAGGAACATTTTTACGCATTTTCAATTCAGTGAATATTGTCAAGAAATAAGATGTGCATTGAAGTGAAATATATCCAGTAACGTCACACTTCATATAAATAGTTTTGTGTCCTTTCTATTTTTATAGTTTCGTATATATATTACGCCAGTAAATATTGGTGTTGAATAATATATAAGAGACAGATATTATATTTGAAAATGAATGAAATATACGAATAATTATAAAAGACATATATAAAAGACAATTTAAATCTATTTATGAGGTTTTACTTTCTTAGTATATGAAAATCCAATGATAATTGAGTTCATTAATTTTAAATGTATTTGCAATTTACTTGTATTCTACTCTCGCTCTATAATATATACTTGTTATTAGTAATAAAAAGTTATTTTAACATTAACCTTGGAGACTTACATAGTATATTAATTTATGCTAACTCTCATGGTTTGGGTTTTCATTATTGAATTATTAAAGTAAATAACAAGTATAATGTACTTGGGGCATAATTCTAAACGAGAGTGAAAAATCTTATTTTATAAAAATAGTTTTTAAACATTCAAATGAAATCAATGTCAACTTTTAAGATGGTAGAACCTAGATGTGGTTAAGTAACAACAACTCGGCTGAACCAGGGAAGTACCACTCTCTCACAGAAGATCGGCGTGAAGTAGTCAACAATGACTGCCTTTCATCTGATGAGTGAGAGAGCCGGTTGCCCTTTCCCTGTTCCCACTCTTTCCTGTCTCCCTACCTCCACCTTTCTCAAAAAGCAATGTCGGCAACGAATCTGCAATATCTCTTATGTTGCAGATGTCCATGGGCAACGGTGACTATTAAGTAGACCGTCTGCTTGTTTGCCGTCTTTCTCATTAAAAAAAATAGGAATTAAGCAGCATACAAGTGACAAGCTTTGTATTTTTTTATTAATATATTAAAAAACATGGAAAATATAAAAAATGATATTTGCTTATATTAATTATTAATTAGCTTAAATATGTTTATATTCACAATTACATAATTTAAAAAGCCAGTTCCCTCAAAACGACTTAGCATTGTAAAATTTTATATTATTCAATCATAAATCTTTAATCGTATTTTATCTAATAATGAAGTCTATTAAAAGATATGAATATTAATAAAATAAAGTGATCTCTACTACAATTATTTAGACTTTATTACTTGTTTACGGTTAAATTTTAAAACACTAAATTGTAATAACATAATTCATCATTAAAAAAATTATTATTAGCCTCTACAAGCAGGTCAATCGCAAGAAATGTCAAGTGTCCTTAAAAATAAAACTAAACTCATGAAAACGTTTTGAAAGGAGTATTCCAATTAAAAACATTGTTCACGAATATACTTCAAAGACCAAAGTCACAATTAAGGAAAAGAAGACAGCCAATGGCAAAAGAACCAAGACACACACACACACGAATTTCGTAAATGTCCGAAACTGCGCTTTCTACAACTTTCTATTCACTAGTTTCATTTAAATTCCACTTGGTTGATATTTATTAACGACTAGTTTTTGCCCGCGACTTCGTCCGCGTTAATTTAGTCATTAGTAATATAGGTATAGCTGACCGGGTAAACTCTATTCCTTCTTCAATAACCCGGTATTGGTATTTATTAAATTTCTACTGTTTCAATTGAACAGAATGATTGACATATTAGTTAGATGTCAAGTCTAATGTCAAAAAATCGTTTGTATGGGAAATAGAAAAGGGCTGTTTTTAGAGTTTTCCCGGCAATTATTCCAATTTTTCTCACCTTTTAAACCTTTCCTGGACTTCCAGGAGTATTTCAAGACTAAAATTAGCCAAATCAGTTCAGCCGTTCTCGAGTTTTAGCGAGACTAAGGAACAGCAATCCATTTTTATATATATAGAAGATGACTGTACATACTCAAAAAATCGAAGTGATTTTTGAAATATAAACACCGTTTCAAAAGAAGAATTAAATTTAGATTCCCTTAATTAAATAACCTATAATTTCATGTATTCAATTTTTGAATCACGGGTATAAAAAAAATATTTGAAGTATATTAATATACAACTATTCACACATCCACTAAAAAATGTTAGGTTAAGCTTAAAGACAGTAATCGACAATTTTAAATTTAATTACACAATTTTAAATTATACTTTGAACGGTATCATTTTAAACGTTTATATTATAATGAAGGGGAGGTTTTTTACGATCAAGAAAATAAATAAAATAAATAACAATTTTCCGATCTTTATTTAAAACAAAACAAACGAGCGGACTACTTTATCAATAAATAAGCAGCTAAATTCACGGAATACACCTTCTTTTTTTTTGGAGACCTTTACAATACGTAGCAATTACGAGAGGTTCATTCTTGGGATATCAAGACGCACTTTTCTTAACAGTCAGAGATCACGAATACGCAATAGATCTTTATTACCCTTTTATATGGTCAGTACACAGATTTAATTCAATGCTCGCTCTCAATGGACTTATAAAATAGTGAAAAGAAAATAATTAAAAATAACCTTTTTGTAACATTAATTTGAATTGTTCCGATTTCTTATCTTGTTTGTAGAAATTGGACATTGAAAAGATAAGTTTTCGATATAGGAAGTATCTATCACTCTTGTATGTGTAAAAGTTTCGTGTATTAGGAATAACAAATTTGTCATAAGAAATTTAGTATTTTTAACAAACATCGGATAAATTAATAATAATAAAAAGTATAGTTATAGTAAAGAGAAGATACATTAAATTTATTTTAATTATAAATTCGTATGTACCAAAAACATTAGATATTTAAATAATCGTAGTATTAATTCGCCGTAAATACCATTTTTATATTTTATTTCATAAACATGACATAAAAATAAATACATAGAACGATGAAATTTATCCAATATTAAATTGAATATTGGAGGATTCTAGGAAAAGGAAGATTCTTAAAAAGATTTTCAGATATTTATAAAAATGATTAGAATTTATAGGTAATAATTATTATCTTTCTAAGAGTAATTTAGACATCACTGATTAATGCATTCCCAAAGAGGGTTGATGTCAGGCAGGCGGCCGGTCGTGAAAACAATTAGCCAAAACTATTCAAAACATGTAAGGCTGGCTGACCTGGCTAAAGCTGGGAAATTGCCAGGTAGATGAAGAATAAGTAAGATTGCCTAGTAAATAAAATAAATCATTGAACGTGACCTGTATCGCACCGTATCGAAGATTTGTCAATCTTATAAAAGAGAAGTAATATTATGTAGATTTTTAATCATTTTATTATTTTCATTATCCTAAAACACACTTCACCGAAATATATCTCTAAAAAACTGTTATCAAACTTATTTAATTACTAAATTTGTAAATGATAACTTAATAAGTTTACACCCACGGCTGTCGGTTTTGAGACAAGTTATAGAAGTTAAAATAGGAAGGATTTAACCTCAAAATAGGTTTAATATTAGGATTCCATACAAAAACTTTTCTCAACTTTAAAGTGTATCTATATTATTATAAAATTCTAGTTAAGATTTAAGTTGTTGCATCTTCATCCTTTATTAAAACTAATTATTTATTAAGCTTATTTTCCATTTAGTTTTGAAAATAAAATGAACTCTTTCTATTGACACCTTATCTCAGTGCCCTCCTAACTTGTGAGTCAGGGAGATCAAATAAAAGTAATTAAACTTATATTACTAGGTTAGAGACATAAAAGAACCATATCAGTTAAACTGCACAATTAAAACCAGCGAAAAATAGTTTAAGCTGTGTATATAGTGAACAAGTACTTTTATTTAATTTTTATAAGCACAACTTACACTTTATAATATATGTAGTATAAACATATAGTGAACAGAAGGTGTGGTCAGTGATAATTGTTTACTAGTCCGCGATCTAGTCACGTCCGCGATCTAGTCAGAGGGCCGCGCCGTGCCATTATTGAGCATGAGCTCAAATTCCCGTTTGGCGATTTTTAATTTATCAGGTGCCAGTCTACGGGGAGTACAAGATATAGGTGGGCCGGGTGTAGTTCTGATATAGTGTACGGTGTTATGTTTTGGAAACACATGTGTGCCTGCCGGCCGCGTTATCTCCGGGAACTCGCTCAGGATGTTGTGAAATCGGGATTGGCCTGTTGAAATTTTTATAGAAGAAATATTAGATTTATCAAGGGAAGCACATGCAGTTAAACTAGTTGTGTTGTCAATTAACAGCTGATTACGGCAATCTACTATTAAATTATAATGACATAGGAAATCGACACCGATTATTGGTTTAGTTACATTTGCTACAGTAAATCGCCAAACAAAATTTCGTCTTAATCCTAAGTTTAAGTTAAGCTCGATAAAACCGTATGTTTCTATTGTCGATCCGTTGGCAGCACTCAACTCGAAGTTGGTCTTGGAACGGCGCTCCCGCAGTGCAGCACGAGGGTAGACGCACAAATCGCTACCGGTGTCGACCAGGAATTGTGTGTTGGTGCTGCGGTCGGTGACGAAGAGGCGACCAGATGAAGGAGGACAGCCGTCAGTCGCCATTAGCGACTGCCCGTGGTGTTTTCCGCCCGAGATGTGGTGTAATCGCAGGGCTTAATGCACCTGCGAGCCTGTGGTCCGAACTTGGCGTGGTACCAACAAACTGGATATTTCCTGTAACTAGAACTGGAACGGCTTCGTTGCTGAGAAGAAGACCGACGGTGGCGTTCACGCGGTCTTGAACGTTGAGTGGAGCAGCAGGACCCTCGGGTATGCTCTTCAAGTTTCAGGGTGAGCTGCTGCACCATCCTTTTCAGCTCTGCGATCTCGTTAACTTGTTGCGCCCCAAGTCCACTGCTGGATGCAACGGCGACAGTGCACGGTGACGTCAGTTCCTGTATTCGGTCTGCTAGGTCCGCAAGCTGATCCAAAGAATGCGTGGGCTGCGAAGCTAGCACCGTCTGGATGTTATGGGGTAGGCGGTTGCTCCATATAGATTTTAGGAAATCGTCGGGTACAGAAGGTCCAGCCAGGTCTTGGAGGTGGCGAAGGAACTGTGATGGCTTTCTATCGCCGAGCTCTTCATGCGTGAGTAGTTGTTTCACCTTTTTCTCGTGTGATGCCGAAAGTCGCTTGATTAGCTCGGTCTTAATTTTATCATATTTGTTTTTCACCGGGGGATTTATTATAATGTCCTTTATTGACTTCGCGTACTGTATGTCCAGGTTGTTCGTGACGTTAGTGAATTTAATGTGGTCATCGGTAATATTTTCACTTTCGAACTGACCTTCTAAAAGGGCGAACCATAATTCCGGATCCTCGGGTGAAAACGGGGGAACCTTAATTTTTATTTTTCGCCCAGTAACGTCCTGACGGTCCGTGGAAACGCGCATTTTTCGCGCATGCCGCGTGGTGATTTTGGCATCCGGTTGAGAACTCACGGTTTTCGCCGAGTCACTACTATCACTCATCTTTACACTTTTTATACTTTTTATGTCCAACCGCGGGGTCACCAGTTATAGTGAACAAGTACTTTTATTTAATTTTTATAAGCACAACTTACACTTTATAATATATGTAGTATAAACATATAGTGAACAGAAGGTGTGGTCAGTGATAATTGTTTACTAGTCCGCGATCTAGTCACGTATGCCGGCCGGCCGGGCCGCTTTGACCTCTGGCCGGTCAGCGGTCAAACCGAGCGGTTGCAATCGTAGCTACGTATAAAAATGAGTAGACGGGCCGGCAGTGTGTTTGTTATACATATATATTTTTTTTGCATGTAAAGAAATAAATAATTTAATAAATAATTTAATAAATGAGTACATAAATGTATAAATTAAATAATTTAAATAAATAAATATATAAATAAATAAATAAATAAATAAATAGGTACGCTACATGTATAAAATGTTGTCGAAAAATGTTAAAAATTTTGAATGGTAAATCATACTTGATATATATTAATTAGTTGGCTAAACAATAAAAAATCTAAGTAAATGACCCCTATATGCTTTAATTTTTTTACTCTTATATATTACTACTTCTGAAGTAAGAGTACAACTAGAAGGTAAATATTACAAATCAACCTTCTTTGTCTTTGATAAAGCAGACAAAAATTTTATGTACCATCTTCGTAAGGTGAAAATATGAACGTAAATAAAACGTCACTTGGAATACATTCTTATTATTGCAGAAATTCTTTAGTCACATTTTCATTTCCAATACAACACTAAGTCTAATTCATTTTTTTAATTGAGATAAAAAAATCATTGTAATATTTCCTTGTACTCATATACTTTTAATGAATTCCCAAATAACTGAAATCAATATGTTCCCTTTGTTGTCCCTCCCAAAATGTTTATGTATAGATAAAAGACTCATTTTCTGAACAGTACTAGCTACTTAGCATCAGGTGGGTTTTTGTTCGTTTTTAGACCTCTTATGTGTCATCAGCCTATCAGAAGCCCACTGCTGAGCAAGGCCTCTTTCTCACATGGAGAAGGTTTGAGCATTAATCACCACGCTTGCTCAAGACGGGTTGGTGATTTCAAACTCATAATTGTGAAACTATAAGTCCAGGTTTCCTCACGATGTTTTCCTTCACCGTATGTCAGAGATGTCTAAATACTATTAGAAAGTACATATGACTCCGAAAAATCACATTGGTACTTGCCAGGTTTGAACCCGCGCCCTCGGCAACGACCTCGCCCGAGACCTCTTATACCTTACCTAATTTATTTAATTATTTTTTTGTTAATTTTTGTAATATTATTTTGTCTTAAATTTTATTATATATTGATGTTCATTGTTAATTGCAACTTGTTTAATTGAATTCATAACTTTATGAGTCATGTCACTTGAAATAAATATATAAAGCCTTGTACATGTAATCTTGCTTCTAAAACAGTAACTTATATTATTCTTAAATTTATCCTTTACTTCATCATTTATAACAAAAACATATAACTAAAGGTTTAATAAACTAATTCAGACATTTCCTTTTATTATTGTATAAAAATATGTATTTGCTAAAGACAATACGAGACGACGAGACGAAACTACTACGCATTCCATGGATTCACCGTGCGGGTGCCGGGTCCATCGCGTTGCAGGGAGAGGAGCTTCAACAGTGCCTGGGACTTGCGACCCAAGTGTAGGTTTAAGGGGCCCCTTAACTAACGCGCGTTATACGCTCACCTCCACTGTCCAAGCTCCTCTCCCTACCTAACCAAATTTGAAAAGAACCTACTAGGGCTGCCTTCGATATACGTTCCAAGAATGCATTAATGTGAGTTCTGGACAAGCCCAAGTCCTTTAGTAGGTTGTAGAGAGATTTCGCTGTTTTGCCTCTCGCTCCCACCTCTACCGCGTACAAATCTACTACGAACCTATTTCGAGTGAGTTCGTTTGTGAGCTCGATTATTATTATTCAGGCTGAAGTAGAGAAGTATTATAAGTATATAAGTCCTCTCTTGGTTTCAAAGATCCACAAGGAATACTGATGCTAATTTAAACGCAAATTATAGTTTCAATGGTAAATATCGAATGGTAATAAAAATCTATCAATATCAAATATAAAAACATATTTAATTTGCTTTAATTTCACCTAAATTTAATTCATTACGACGTTATAGAAAATTACTAAGACCGCTTACGAAATTTAATACTGTGTTATCTTAATTAAATAGATAACTTATATGTTCTGTGGTTAGAAGGATTTTCAAATTACCCATTAAAGTTAGCCACCCAGTAATCTAGTTCTTGCGGTTATTTTACTTAAGCGACGGTCAGCTATTTCCACAGTTCATTACTACGTAGTACTAATCTCGATATATCGTCAAATAGTTGTTTTAAATTTATTGCAAATTTGTGATATTTAACTGTATTATTGTGATTTAACTGAAATTACTATGACCATAAAAAGAGCGGGCTATAATTTGATAGTGGTCTCAAATAAATTACTTCATAAGGTACATCTTACAATGAAGACTTTTATTAATCAAAACAAAACAATAGTGAGGTTCAAGCTTTTAAGTTATAAAGAATTTAGAATCAAAAGACTTTTTGATTTACGAAGGCGAATTGACTGGTTTCAAACATTTAAAACTTACTTACTCGATGCGTAATGCGTCTTTTTATCGCTATACAAAGAAGAGTGTTATACAATTGTTTTCTAATACATAATATCTGTCGACAATTAAATCCCAAAACGTTTACCAAATTTGAGTCAAATTCTTAAATAAATGATCTTTTCGTTTAAAGCTCTTTGAAAAAGCAATAATTATGTTGTTTATTATATAACCTTAAAAAAATTGTGACAAAGTAGGTCTTATCGTTGAAAGCGACCTCTGGCATAGCACCTAAATATATTTAAAGGTTAAACACTATAACTAGTTTAGTGAAATAGTTAGTATATCTAGAGTATCATGGCCTTATACAGATATTGTGGCACTCGGTTCCGTATAATTTTGATACCTAAAATTGTATGTTGTCTTCAGCCCATTTTATTCTCATGAATAAAAAAATGATTTCAAACAATGGGTAAATGAAAAAAGAATGATTCAATGAAATAGACAATTAATAATTATTTAAGAAAAACAAGATATGAAGTCAAATATAACGACATATTATTATATCACTGATTAATTTCATTAAGAAAAACAAAAACATATGCTTAATATTATGAATTAAACTTAAAATTTTATTTGTCTTAATAATTTGATTCACTTCCAGATCCCCTGATAAATAAAATATAAGATCATCTAATAAAAACTAATATAACTTTGTTAGAGACATAAACTTCGTTTTAATTTCGTTTACTCCAAATTCTCCAAGGAATCGCCTGATTCAAAATAATATTATTCATATACAATTGAAGGGGCCAGTATAAATTATTTGTTGAAGGTTTTACTGATAAAAAGTTAGCAAGGCTGTTATGAAATTTTTCAAATATTTCGCCGGTAAAACAATATACCCTTCCTATACCATCAGATTTCCCAATAAGGAAGAGAAAATTTAATGTAAATGTGACCCATAAATATCTGTAAGCTACCTTTTGATACAGTAATTACTTTTTTAACATCGGAAAAATCGGTTCTTAAAATTAACAACTTTTAAACTTCACAATGTAATATCAACATGTTTCAAATTAATTTCTCTCGAGAACATATGACTGTTAATCAGAGCATCACAAACAAATTAATTTCTTTCCAATGGAATAATTCAATTTCTATGATAATAAAGCAGAATTAGTATATAGCACGAAAAAGTATCTATTCTCAGAAATTTTCTTAATATGAACAATTTTTATTTATATTTAGTTTCAAATTTAAGTTAAGATTTCAAAATAAGGTGTATAAAAATCATTTGTTACAAAAGATTGTGTGTGTTTTTTCTTATATATGTATCTAATAAATGACTGATCTCAGAATTCGTAAATTGCCACATTAGTAAAGTTACCGCTACATCTGTTCCTGATAATCAGTTGACGTTACTTATTCATAAGGATTAAAAGTCAACACAATACCATCTTATTATGTACTTTATTAGTAAGTCAAGAACTATTTGGATGTTCGTAGTAATTAAAGAACTATTGTACCTACTTCTTAAATAAATAAATTTATTTATTTTCATCTGTAATTAAGACACTGTTAAAATCTATATGTATCTATTAAAATCTATATCTATACCTAAATATAAAACAGAAATGATATGTAATGTTTTAGCCTTGAAAAGTTGTGCTGAAGTCTACAAACGAAATATTAAAATATATGAAAGATT